CTTGGCCAGGTCTGTTCCCACCCAGAACTCAGCAGTGCCCTCCAAGGGGAAAGACAGCTTGCCAAGGAGAAGGGGACACCCCAGCAGAGGGAGGGGTCTCCCCATCATTGACCACCTTGGAGTGGCCAAGCCATAGACCCTGGTTCATCTTCATTCATCCTCCGGAACATGATCCCTTAGAACCTGAAAAGAGGGTAGCTGAGAGTATGCGGGACAGATGGAGTGAGCGAGCGACCACAACCCTCCTCCCAACAGCCTGGGAAGGACAGGTCATGATTGTCTCTAGGACATAGAAGTTTCAGTTGAAGTTGAGAGTGGTGAAGTGAGTTATCTATGGTCATATGGCAAGATATAAACAGAGACTCCATTAGAACACAGGTCCTCTGACTCTCCAGAGCTCTTTATACCTCTTCTTGCCCAGGTAGCATACCACCTCAAGCCAGAGCAATGGGGCATAGACCATGTTAGATGCCAGATGGTGCCAGGAGTTTCAAAGGATGGTTTGGCTCTTCCCAGAGCTCCTTTCTATCTGTACTTGCCCTGGCTCTTAGGCTCCACCGTGTGCCTGAATCTTGACAAAGCACAGCGAAGGAAAGGGAGAACTTTTTAATGCTTCAGATGGGCTGATGGCCCTTCCTTTTTGCAGGAGCAGCTGGAGCAGAAGCCATGTTGCTGTGCTCTTTGGTCTTCACCCTCATCCTGCTGGTAGTCTCTGGAAACGAATGTGCTGTGAAGGAAGTTTGTGTTGGGAACCCAGGCATCCCCGGCACTCCAGGATCCCATGGTCTGCCGGGCAGAGATGGGAGAGATGGTGTCAAAGGAGATCCAGGACCACCAGGTACTGTCTGAGAGACCTCACCCTCAGCTGAGGGACAGTGACCTGTTTTCAGGAGCCCCATGTGTTCAGGGCTTTGGGCTGGGTACAAGAGTCAGCTGGATGGTGAGGCATGCTGGGAGTTTCCCAGGGCCCTTACACTGAATCGGCCCTGGAGGGTCTCTCTTCAAAGTGCCCATGGAGTGGCAGGTGAATCAGCCCAGTTGACAATGGAAGTCCAGCGACATGAGCCTTACCCAGTTGTGGGTGATAGATACCATACATCCATGTTCCCTTCTCTCTGCAGGCCCCATGGGCCCCCCTGGAAGAATGCCAGAATTCTCTGGGTGTAATGGGCTGACTGGAGCCCCCGGCATTGCTGGCCAGCGTGGAGACAAGGGAGATCCTGGCGAGAGGGGCCCTCCAGGTGAGCAGGATGGGGCAGGTGGGCAGTGGCAACATGGACACAGTGCTCACGTGACTGTTACATGAAAGATAACGAGAATTAGTAAAATCATGGAAGCCCCCAAAGGGCATACTGCTCAACCTAAATAAGAAAATGTGAGGTTGAAGAGAGAAATCCACAGGATCTGGGTAGTAGGCCACAATGCAAGAACTGATGGATGTTGAAAGTGCTTCTTCACGCATCATAGCTGCTGAAGAGAAGACACAGGGTGTCAAGTATGGGAAATGGGGCAGCACTAAGAGGCAGGGGACATACTTCTTAGGGCCAAGGTGCAGGGGCATTCTGAAAAGTATATGGGGATATGTGGACCAAGGATCCAGGTAGCTGGAGTAATAAGGAGCCACCATGCAGAGGGGAACTCCGAAGCTCTGAATAGTAATCAAGGTCCATCAGGAGAGTGCAGAGAGAACCACACTTGCCCTTGATGAAAGATAGGGGAAGGAGCCCTTCCCAGAAACTAGGAAAACCTACAGAAGTGGGCAGACAGAACCATTCAAGCATGTGTCAGGAAATGAGAGCCGGGAGGGCTCAGCAGGTGCAAGGCTGCATGAAAGGACAGTGTGTAGGGAGTATGGAGACAGTCTCCAGTGTTTTGAACCCTTACTACTTGGGGCCTGGGCACTGGGTGTGAACCGGTAGAGGGAAGAATGACAGACTTGCAGCTGCGATCACCACCTGCTTGGCAACAAGTGAGGGGTCTCTTTTGGACTGCCCCTCACCCTGGGTGGGGATCTCTCTACAGGGCTTCCAGCTTATCTAGATGAAGAGCTCCAAACCACGCTTCACCAATTCAGACATCAAATCTTGCAGTCATTGGGAGGTAAGGGGACCCATTATGACCTTGTAAGGTAGGGGTCTCCCATAAGTTCCCCTTATACTCAGCATCAGGCTCCAGAACCTAGAGACTTGACAAACAGGTGTGGACATGCAGGTCTTGGGGAAAAGAATGATACTTCTCTTTTCTGATGACTTTGATGGCCCAGAAGAGACAGAAGTGGACACAGATTAGCTCTCTATATCAAGGGAAAGCAAGTTCTCTGCCTATCTTGCTTTCTATTGAATCGCTGGGAATTGTAATTTCTGATACATAATGAGACGGTTAATAAGTAATTGTTAAAGAGATAAATGAATGAATAGAATGATGAGAGCATAGAGGAGAATTTAGAAAGACTAGGATAGGAAGAGGGAGGAAAAACAGAGAAAGAGGCAGATGAAGAGATTAGAGAAAGCATAAAGGCAGAGAGCCTAAGTGAGGGAAAGAAGCTTAGAGACACGATTAGTAATCAAGATTCCTCTGCTCTCAGTCCTCAGTTTGCAGGGATCCATGCTGGCAGTGGGAGAGAAGGTCTTCTCCACAAATGGGCAGTCGGTCAATTTTGATGACATTAGAGAGACATGCGCGAGAGTGGGTGGCCGCATTGCTGTCCCGAGGAATCCAGAGGAGAATGAGGCAATTGCAAGCATCGTGAAGAAGTATAACATTTATGCCTACCTGGGCCTGGCTGAGGGCCCCACCCCTGGAGAATTCTACTATCTGGATGGGGCCCCTGTGAATTACACCAACTGGTACCGAGGGGAGCCCAGGGGTCGGGGCTCAGAGAAGTGTGTGGAGATGTACACAGATGGGCGGTGGAATGACAAGAACTGCCTGCAGTACCGACTGGCCATCTGCGAGTTTTGAGTGAGCATCAAAGCCACAGGAGAGATAGGGTTCTGCCATGCTTTTCAACCTTTATCCTGCAGATCCACCTGATATATGAGATGCTATAACTCCTTTTCAACAAAATGTATTTGTGGCTATTCGAGTTGGAGACATTTTTAGCAACTTCACTCCTCAGCAGGGCCCCAGCTCTTCCTCCATGATCACTAATCAGTCTGATATGCCCCCGGAGCCTCTTCTCAGCACCGCATGCTACATCACCACTCCTAACTTTGCCCTTTGCCAAGAGATAAAGACTTCCTTCTTCCTCTTATTGTCCAGTTCCTTCATTTACAAGCGGCAACAGTGAGGACCTAGGATGGCAGGTCCCTCCAAAATCACACAAAGAGTGCTTGTCCCCTGGCCCCCTATACTGTTTCTCTGCAGCCCACTGCCGGGCCAGTCTCATCAAGGTTTAGTAGTTCTGATAAAAACAGGCAAACTTCTGTGAAATTTCAAGTGTGTGGAGCTAAGGACACATTCTGGATTTTCCAGCAGCCTGGGGGCTTCTGGGGGCACACCTGGTCAGTCTCCTCATGAGGTCAGAAGGCCAGCTAGTGCCCCAACATGGTGGAGGCCAACCCAATAATAGTGATTAACATGTATTATTTATGACTTCTTTGAGTCTTGGGGTGCCAACTCAACTCCCTGACGGAGTTAGCTGCTTCAACAACATATAGGGGCTCCTGGCACCTATAAAAAGATAAAAATGATACGTAAGAAATCTAAATATCCTAAGGAAGAGGAAAAATCTCTGTCGTTTGTAAATGCAATCATGCATTCATAAAATATAAGAGAATCGATTATATTAGAAATACTAGGGAGTAAACAAGAATCCAAAAAGATGGCTGGATATGAGATCATCAAGCAGCTAACCTATACCTCTAGACAAGATCTCACTCCCACCCCAGACATAACTCAAGTAACTTCTTGCTGATGGACATATCCCCACACCACTTCAGGTCTCAATAAGGCATTCACATGACTTATCACACCACTGACTACTGATTGAGCACATGCTATGTACCAGGCACCTTGACAAGCACTTCTAATACATCTTATGAAATATTATTTAATCTTTACATAATGCCTGGGGACCAATATTATTGTTCCCATTTTTTACATGAGGACACTGAGACTTAGAGATGTTAAATGTTTTGGGTTTTCTTACATGGAGGAAGTGGGCTCAAACCCATTTACCCAGACCTGAAGCTCATTCTCACAATCGCCCTGCCCTCTCGCTGAACAGATGATTTAAGTATAATAAATCATTATTGCATTAATATCAGTTTCCATTGCTCTAGTTCCAAAGAATATCACATTTCCATATTTATATAAATCTACTTAACTCTGGCTGTGAGCATCCACTTATGTGAAAAATGGGAAATTCAATCTCAGGTTATGCTTCCTTTGTTGCATGGGAGGAGCAACCTGCTCTTCACTCACGGGTTATGTGAGCAAATGGGGAGCTACAGACATCTGGAAAAACATATAGAAGAACAAGAGTATTGATGGCTGGCATTAAGATAATTCTTGTTCTAAGTCCACCTGGTCCATTTACGGGTGGTGATAAAATGCCTTCCTTCCCCACTCAGATGTTTTTCATAGTCAGGGCTGTGTCTCAGGTCTCTGTGAGCCATCTCAGTCTCAGGTGTGCATGAAATGGGATCATGTTCCCATACCAAGGGCTGTGTAGAAAACAGACCATGTCCCTACTTGCATTAGGAGGCAACCACATATTTTGTCTCATCTTCAGAAAGGTCTACACTTCCTCCAACTTCACATTTTTGAATGCTCTTCTTCACTGCATATAATTATTTTCTTGGATAAGAGGAAACTCTGGATCAAAACCCACAAAGCCGGATAGGAAAGAGCAGAAATATTTCTCATTCTTTCATGAATGATAAATTTTAATCTGGTCACCTTGCCACATGTGCTTAGGCCCAGCACAGGAATTGTTGAGCCTTGCCAAAAATTCAAAAAAGCAAGAAGTATGTTTTTCTTGTTTTACAGATGAATAGTCTAAACTTCCAAAAAGTAATGTTTTCTCGTTTCTTGTTAGTTTTATTTTTTACTTTCTTTACAGTTTTATTTGCTATTGTTAAATTAATTATTGCTGATTTATAAGAAAACTATTGATTTATTTTTCATTGATCTCATATCCAGCCATCTTTTTGGATTCTTGTTTACCCCCTAATATTTCTAATATAATCGATTCTCTTATATTTTATGAATGCATGATTGCATTTACAAATGACAGAAATTTTTCCTCTTCCTTAGGATATTTAGATTTCTTACGTATCATTTTTATCTTTTTATAGGTGCCAGGAGCCCCTATATGTTGTTGAAGACAATGATAGATGATGCCTTTGGGGGCACTGAATGTTTAATGGGAACACTTCTAATATTTCACCATTGAAAATATTGCTTGTTTTAGGTTCCTGACAGATACCTTTTATCAAGGTAAAGAAGTTCCCACTTCTTCCTATTTTATTGAGATTCATTTTAATCCTGAGTATATTTTGACATTTATCAGATTTTTTTTGACATTTCCTTTAGTCTGATAACACCAAAATGGTTTCAAGTGTGGGTTGACTCATCTCCCATTCCTGGGTACTAGCATCTGGGGCCCACAGGGGAGAACAAGAGGCTTTAAGTGCCTCACCTTTTCAGGATGGTGTAATGCTGCAGGGACCCCATCATGAAACATGCAAAGAGGGGCCTGTTCAGCATGAGTGGTTTAGTAATTCCCATGCCCTTGATCAGTTAAGGAGGACGAAACAGAGGAAAGGAGGCTGATGCACCTTGGGTGGAAATTATCCTTTCTTCTCTTCTTCCTGTGGAATCAGGGAGGGGACTGTTCTATCCTCCTCCTACTCTTTGCAAGTAGGGATACCCCAATTACTTTGCCTTCCCCAATTAAGTCACCTAAGGCAGGAATAGGGGGGATTATCTCCTATTCCAAAACTGCTGAAGTACCAAACCAGTAGAGGGCCTGATCTCGCTGACGCATCAGGAGATTAAGAAGTAGGAGAATAGAACTGGCGTAGAAGTGTTTTGGGGCAACGTGGACTTCCAACACTTGGATGAGTCTCCCAGGGGCTGTGTGAATATCAGTGTCATGGAGGCTACCTGGGATTTTTTAAACCCTACTCATGAGCAGGTTGCTTCTTGGAGCACAGGGAATGGAAGAACAAGAGACCATGAATTGAAATGTCCACTGACATGTTGTTGAGGGTGGAGAATGTGCAACTGAAGACTTTTACAGAGTCCCTTGTCTGAGGAACCAACTCCTGAGAGGACATAACTTGTCAGTTATGCAAGGAACTCACCACCCAGTCAGAGTGGGCTGAGAAGAAGCAGTGTCCCCATTGACACGTAGGTCCTCCTGTGAGCAGGCACTGCCCGTCCTTGGCACCATCATTACCTCTACACTCCACATGTGCAAATAAATAAGAGAGGTCACTGCCCACCCTTCACTTCAAGAAGCCACCACTCCACAGCCACAGTGGAGATGAAACTGAGATCTCAATGACAAAAATGGAGAACAATTATTCATTTGGACTACGTTTTAATTCAACCCTAGAAAGTTTGCACTGCAAGGGTCTAAGAAGAAAATGTATGAACAATTTTGGGACCATGTTTAGTTTTGAGAACAGGATGAGCTTCAAGATTGTGTATGTCTGCAAGACTCTTAAACTTGTTATATATTAAATTAATGAATTACATGGTTTTGTTTTTTGATGTTGAACCATCCTTGCATCTCTGATATATACCCTTCTAGGCCTACTGGATGATACTCTCATCACATTTAGTATGTGCCAGGCACTATACTTGTATTAACTCATGTCATGTCATCTTCATTAACCCTATTACATAGATACTATTATTATCCACAATTTACAAATAAGAATATTGATGCAAATGCAGATTAAAATGATTTGTCAAAGTTCCTGGGCTACAAATACAGGAAGTCAGATTTCAGAGACTGTGCTATTAACCACTAATGCATGGCTGAACTCTAATAGCTGTTTTTTACTTTAGGCTTTCCTGTGGGTTCATGTCTGCCCCACATCATATAATTATTCTGATGTTAGGGGCTACCAGGGACATATTTTTCCCACGACTGGAAAGAAACAAGAAGAGGCCACGTTAAACCTACAAGCACACTTAAAAATGCTGCACCTTTCATGGCTGCTCACAGTCACATGGCCAAGCCAAGCACAAAAGGATTTGGGGTGTTTACTCCACATACTCTAGTGCAAGACTCTGCAAAGTACTATGGCAAAGGGCTTAGATATACAATTCCACAATAAAGAGAAATTAAAAATGAGGAATAATAATTCAAACTATCATGATCGTATTTGCCAAATTTATTATCTTTTTTGCAAAAAAACAGTTTGTATTTTATCGTTAGCTCTATAGTTATTTCCTTACTTTATTCATTGATTTCATTATGTATTTTTATTTTATTTATTGATTTCAATTTTATTTCCTATTTATTATTTATTTATTCCTTATTTATACTACCTTATAAATACATCAATTTATACATTTCATAGAGTCAGCTATCCTTGGAAGATTATTTTTGAGGCTTCTTGTATCAGTGAATTTTCCCTCTGCTTATTTCCTACTGTGTTTAGTAATTTTTACAAGGTTGACTCGAATTACCTGATCTCCATCTGAGCAAATCCTGAGATGCCTGGCTAAAAGATAAGGTCTTCCATTGTTTTTATGTCCTCATGGCACACTAGGTTGTGATAAGCTGGAACACTTCAAAATCAATCCTTTATCATGGCATAAACAGCAAAATGTAGTAATAATTATCATAGCAAATCATAGCAATAGTATACATTCAAATGCCAGATCTATGAGAAGACAGACTTGTGGCTATGCATGCTCAAGGGTGGTTCCTTTTCCCTTCCAGAGTCAAGGCTTTCTTGTTATATCCCTTTGCTTAAGTGCAGATCCCTCCTTCCTCCTGCCTTCTTCTCTCCCCTACC